TGTCAAGTTGATTACACTTGATCTCTCTGACCTGAGAAGGGGGCAGTGATTCATGTCGTCTGGGATTGGCACGCATGCTCTTATCATATCTGGCCAGTGTTCCTTTCCACCGTGCAGGGTGCTGGCTATCCAAGAGCTTACCTAGTGTTTGATCCACTGACAGGGGACCCCATGGCTCAGCGGTCCCCAACCTTTGTGGCACCACGGATTCGTGCCCCTATGAGCATCTAATGCCTGATGACCTGAGGTGGAGCCGAGACGGTGATGCTAGTGCTGGGAAGGAGTTGCAAATACAGATGAAGCTTTGCTCACTCACCCATCGTTCACCTCTTGCTGTGCAGCCCAGTTCCTAACAGGCCACGGACCAGTACTGGTCCATGGCCCCGGGGATTGGGGACCCCAGTTTTCAGGGACCATGGAGAGTTAAGTAGGTGCGCCAGTGATGGTAGTATGTATAGTTGTGTTTATCTATCTATCTATCTATCTATCTATCTATCTATCTATCTATCTGTCAATCCTTCAGAATTTCAAGGAGAACTGCAGAATTATAATTAATATAGTAGACTACGTATAAGCTCAGCTTTTCTATAGGTTATTTATTGTGGATGTGGATGCATTTTAATATTTTGATACAATGTTGGATGAAAACTCTAAAAGTAAGAGGGCCTGGTATCTATGAAGGCATCTATACTGTTTAGTGTGGGCTTTAGAGGTTTAAATGATTACTTGATTTTAAGTGTCTTACCTTTGACTTATGGCTTAACTTTGCTAGCTTTTCAAAACTCTGTTTTAAGTCAGTTAAACGCTTTTCTTTTAGACTAAAACAAATAATAAGTCTTTATCTTCTGCTTCTATTGTATGCTATTTGTTTTGACTTGCTTTAATGCTACATTGTTTTACATGATGACAAGAGCATCTCCGTAAAGATTTATGAATTTATTCACTAAAGTGAAATTTTATACAATCTGAAGTTGTATGGTTTCATTATTGTGACATTGGATTTATTGTCTTATAATAAAAGCTTACTTATATATTTTCTTTCTTTTCAGGATACTTTTTTCTACTCATTGGTCTATGACCCCTCAGTGAAAACACTATTAGCTGACAAAGGTGAAATCAGAGTGGGACCTAGATATCAAGCAGACATTCCAGAAATGCTCTTAGAAGGTATGTTTTCCTTTGAGTTTCAAGTCCTATGAAAACATATAATATATTTTAAAAATCAAATATTCTTTTTCTCATATGGGAGAAACAACTTTTAGGCTAAAGTTTAAGTGTTATGAGTTCTTCCAATTTTAGAAATACAAGAAATAGAAGGGATAATAATTTATTTAATTAACTTCATTTTCATACATATATAAATTTATTTATTTAAATTAGTTTCAAGTATACAGTACATTGGTTAGACATTTATATAGTTCATAAAATGATCCCCCCAATTGCTCCCTCCTTTCCCTGGCCCTCCACCTGCTATCATATTAATGCTAACTGTATTTCCTCTGCCGTGCACTCCATCCCCGTGCCCAACTATCAACTACTAATTTGTACTTCTTTAACCCTTCACTCCATTCTCCCAACCCGCTAATCCCCCTCCCCTCTGTCCGTCACCAAATTGTTCACTATATTTGTGAGTCTGTTTTTGATTAGTTTGTTCTTTTTTGTTCCTTAGATACTGCATATAAGTGAAATCATATGGTATTTGTCTTTCTCTATCTGACTTATTTCACTCAGCATAATAACCTCTAGGTCCATCCATGTCGTTGTAAATGTTAGGATTTCATTTCTTTTTTTTTAATGGCTGAGTAATATTCCATTGTATATATGAACCGTAATTTCTTTATCCAGTCATCTGTTGATGGGCATTTAGGTTGCTTTCATACCTTGACTATTGTAAATTGTGCTGCCATGATAATTATTCATTTTTGATTTCACATTTTTATGAGTTTCCTGGCTGCGTTTTTCTTTTAAATACAAGATTACGAGCATTCGTGTTGTTGAACTTGCATTTTAATGTGATACACTCATCCCTTGAAATCCTAAGTGCCCTTATTAAGTCATCTATCAGAGGAGGCCATGAAACAGTTACATTTTGAACAGTTAAATTTTAGTAGGGATTGTGGCTGATCTGAGTAGTTTATGTACCAGAGAGTTTCAGAGCTTTGCATTTTAAAAACATTTTCCTAGCTAGATATAATTTATATTTTCCTGATTACAATAGTAAAACATTCTTACCATTAAAAAATACAACACAAAATAGAGAAATGTATAACATAGGAAATTAATGTCATGCCTTTTCCTTCTCTCCAAACCCATATTTAATTACTATGATTTGGTAGGGTATATTTGTTTTGTTCACACTTTGCCTTATGCTCCATCCAGAAGTGGTCCATGTGCAGTGTGGCAGGTTGCACATGTTAGTCTACAACTGCTTCTTTCAGTTAACAGTATCTTTTGCATCTTTCCATCTGAGTAGAATGACTTATTATTTTTAGTGACTGTACAGTTCTTAACATTTGCATAGATGTATCAGAACTTCCTTTTCCAGTCCCCTGTTGATAGACTTTTAGGTGTTTGCATTTTTTTGTTATTACAAATGATGCTACTAGAAAATCTATACATTTATTTATGCTCTGTAAATATTTCTCAAGCATAACTTTTTGGAAGGAAATGGTATGTATACATTTTAGATATTGAAAATGTTTCTTTGCCATTCAAAAAGGCTATGTTTAAGAACCAGATGTCTTCACCAACACTGTAAGTATTAGGGATCTTCTTCCCCTCCATTCACTGCCCCCGCATTTTGATATCTCATTGTGTTTATTTGAAAAAAATTGTTTTAACGTTGAGATTATGCTTGCTTTCGTTATTATCTTTAGCCCTTCTATAAATTTTTTATGCATTTTCTACTTGTGTTTTTTATCTTTTCATGTCTTAGCAAGACTTCTTTGAATATTAAAGGTAAACAAATACAAAAATGTTTGCTCTTTGTCCACAAGTATTGCAAACATCCTCCCCACTTTATTATTTGATGAAAAAATAGTGATTTTAAATTTATTTACTTCTTTGTCATCCAGAAGTTTAGGATTTTTTAGTCTTTTCCTTAAGGCCTGTGAGTGATTTGCATTACTCATAGAAAGGCCTCCACTTTTGTTTCTGCCCTCCGATTATTAAAGCATATGAGTTCTTCCATAGGTTCTTCTCTCTACCTTGCCTTACTTCTAGAAAATGTATGCAGAAAAGTTAAATCAGCAGATACTCAGAGTAGAGTTTGTGAATCATAGTACACATTGATGTCAGTGGTAGGTAGGTGGGATGGTTGTGAATAATGCTAGGCTGCAGACTTCTGCACTTTCATGAACTTAAGTAGCAGGAAAGGTCGGTCAATAATGATTAAGCTTGGAGAACAGAATGCTGTGTCTGTACTCAGCTGTGTTTGGACAGTTTTTTTTGACTACACTGTGAGTATTTATTATAGGCTGAGAGATTGCATTTATTGACATTCTGATCTGTACAAATCAACTTGTCTTCTAGGAATAATTTTGAATGTTTATAGTAATGTTCTATGTTAGACCTATATCACTGTACCTAAGTGTTCACTAAATATTTATTATTGGGAGAAAACACTTGATTTTAAAATCTTACAAGTAGTGCTGCAATGAGTATAAAGGATAATTTTTCACTCTGGATATAACTGGAAAATATATTCTTAAAAGTGGAATTGCTAAATCATAGGGCATGTGTTTTTGAAATTTTGTATAAAATACCAAATTGTCTTATAGGTATTCATTTACAAGTGGGTTTTTCTTGTTTTAATTCTGGGATAATTTATATATAGTAAGTAATTTCACCCTTTCTAGTGTGCATTTCTTTGAGTTTTTGGCAAATGTATATGCTTCTAGGAAATAGTTCAGCAAGTCCATCTGTGCACAGGCCAGGAACGTCTCTAGTGCTCATGTATGCATAGGCACCTAGACCAAGCTCTAAATCCCCATAGCAGTCCTTTGTTACTCCTTCCTGAACTCTGATCTCTCCCTTCTTCAAACTGTGGAGACCTGTGTTCATACAATATTTTTATGCTAATTTTATTATTTGACTTTTAAATTTCGTGCTGCCTGAGTCATTGATTATGTGGTTCTCCCTTGAGCCCTGAGCACAAGCCGAGACGTGTATAGTAAGTCTAGAAAATTTTATGTATTGCTCATGTGAAGATAAATGCTGAACCAAGTAATGAAGTTGGCGTATTTCAAGTAACAGCGGGCAGAAAAATCCGATCAAGGAATCTCATGAGTTCTCATTGATCCAAAAAATTATTTAAATATAGTATTTGTCCCTGAAAAGCAGAGTGATATAATTTGGAAAACACATCTACCTAGTTTAGAATTTTTAAAAAAATTATTTTAGAAAACAGAATAATACATAAAATGCAACAATTGATTCTATAGTCCTCAAAATGGACTTGAGGTTCTTCTAGTTAAGAGGAATGATTCTTAATAGTTTGCGGCATTTAGGGAGTAATGCCAGTTCTATGACAAAGGCATTCTTTGTATTTAGAAAATCTGACTAAATATTCAGTAATATAATAGATCTTATAGTTCATTAATGAGTATTAATTGCCTTTAACATAATGTTTCTTCTGGGTGAATGCTTTATAAACTTTATTCAAGCAATAGAACTCTTTCTTTAAATGAACTATTATACAACATGACCTTAAACAAAAAAGGAAAATCAGGTCATTGTGGGTGAGGTGTGGGGAGAAGCCCCCATTGAATCTCTTGAGGTGCCTTAGGGAACTGTAGGATACAGAGAATGACAAGTTGAGGCTGCTTTTCAGTATTCCATACCGCTTAGAATCCTACCTCTTCATTACATAATCAGAATCCCCAGATAAACTTCACACAGTTTGAAGTGTTTATGATGAAGTCCCTTTGTAACATAGCGTAACGAAGGGGCACCACTGTATTCATTTGCTTCTTCCCATTTTTTAAGTCTTAAAATTATTTTATTGCAAATAATAGGAATTGTGGTAGATAATGCAATTATACTAGAAACAAAAGCAGGAGTCCCTTGGAGCATCCCTTCCAACCCTCTATTAACTGTTGTTATTAATTTAGCATATTCTCCCAGACTATTACATAAGGATTACAGAGATCCATGAAATTATATTCCTTGCAATGTTTTGTTGTGTGCTAGATCCAAGTTTATCTATCTCTTATTACATGTTTTATGGTAGGGCATATTTTCTCTATTGTTCTTTTAAAATTTCTTAACAGAGAGGTCGCCTATAAAATTTTTTTCTTACTGTTGAGGTTTATCATCAATTTGTTAATTTCTTTCCTTTCAGATTTCACTAGTATTCTGATTTAAATTGTATTAATATTACATCTTACTTGGGGAGGTGATTAATCATTTTATAATATTGAGCAGTGTGTGGGTCTGTTTTGAGATTTCTGTTCCGTTTCACTGGTTTGTTTGTTTCTGCTGAGGTAACTTACTTTTAATTATAGAGGCCTTGCAGTACGTGTTAATATCTGATGATGCTAGTCCCCCTCTTATTTTTCCAAGTGAGTTTTTAAAGAAATCAGCTGGACTAAAAACCAGAAAAAAGAACCTACCTTCTTGTTTTTATTGGAGTTGCAACTAATTTTTGAGTTATTTTAAGGAGAACAGACATTTTGATGATGTTGAAACATCTTAACCAGAAACTGGGCTATCTTTCCTTTTGTTCCAGGGTATTTTGGAGTCTTGTGGGAGGTTTTTTTTTTTTTTTTTTTTTTAAATATAGAATTAGTTTTATCGTTTTTACATTACTTTT